GTACAAACTTCAAAACACGGAAAAACTCCAAAACACGTACAAAACACAACAGAGGTGCTCCAAGATGCTAGGCGCAGTGTTGAGCTTTTGTTACCTAGTGGCTACACAAGCCAGCAAGTACCAACGACCTGATTTGGTAGTAACAGGTAAATGAACTTTTTTTTTTTTATTATTTGAATATATATATATATGAGTGCTTGTGTATAAATACACAAACCATACACATATGCTTTCAATTGTGTAATTTAAGTGATCTAGGTAGCTCTGTTTTGGAAGTTCAGTTAACTCTAGGAATGTGTTTTGGAGTTTGTACGTGCTTTTTGGAGTTTGTACGTGCTTTGTCTCTAGCGGCCACCACATATATTTATATATAAACATATATAAATAAAACCACTTTTTTTTACATTAATAATTCCTTTTGTGCATAATTGTATATTATTGTTAATAATAAATAAATTAAAGCAACAAAACAACCTGAAGAGCCGGTTCGGTGCCGAAAGAGCCGGTTCTTTTTAGTGAGCCAAAACGAAAAAGCCGGTTCTATAAAAAGAGCCAGAAATCCCATCACTACTGAGTGCAGTTTTGGCCGACGATATAAGTGATACTGCCCCCATAGCTTCCTGTAGTTTATTGCAGTTACAAAAACAAATTTTAAAAAACCCAAATATTAGTATATGACGCTTAACAATAAAATTCCGCATCGTTTAATTTTTATAGTCGATGTTATCGATTATGCTGACAAATCGTTGCGACTCTACTTTAAAGTATTCCTGTAATAGTGTTTCGAAGACTCTTTGGAGACAGCGCTTAATTTCAGAAAGACATCCCTGATGCATGTTTTTAAACTAGAGAGCTTAGCCTAAATGAATCGTGGGATCCAAAGTCCTCTTATTTCCAATTAATTTTGTATCGTTATTTGTGGCAAATGAATCATTTACTTTCGGCCACACTACAACTGTTCCAATGAGTTTGAATTAACAGAACAGTGTTTTTCCACAGAAAAGAAATAAAATCCTATAAAGTTAGGAGAAGGACACTTTCTCTGTTTAATGTCCTCTCTCTTACCCTCCTTCCAGACCCCTAAGGAATACGAGAGGGAGTATAGCAGAGAACTTCAGCAGAAAGGCGTGGAGGCAAGCAAGTTTCATGGTTTCGCTTACGATGGGATCTGGGTCATTGCCAAAACGTTGACGAGAGTGATGGAACTGCTGCGGATAAAACAACGGCAAAACATGTACCACAACTTCACCGTGGACGACCGTGAAGTAGGAAAAATGGTGCTGGACGTCATGAATGAAACCAACTTCTTTGGTGTTACGGTAAGTTAGGAAGCGGGCTGTTGTTTAGTTTGTGAATCTATAGCACATAGCAGTGATAGTCTGACATGTGTAGAGGTGAAATTGATTTCTTTTACTTGACTCACTTTCATATGGTGAAGCTAGCACCATCAGACAAACTGACAAACAGAAAGACACCGAAATTCAATGCACTGTGTGTAGGCAAAAAGTTCTCCCTAATACTGGTTAAGACCAGTGGACAAGTAGAAAGACTTTTATGTATAAAGTGCATGTACAGACAACATCCCAGTCCAAAAAAGACCAAAGGTTTCTGAAAGTTTTCAGTTTTTCTCAGTTGCTTTGGTAACTTTCACATAACATTCTTAAAGATATATTTCCCACTCAGCAAACCCTCCAAAACATTGAATTAATTTGTGAAAATTGCATTTTTGCATTAATAAATTAGTAATAGGAACCAAAATGGATAAACTGCTTTCATAAAGTGTAACTTTATAGGTGTTTCTCACATTACCTACATACGTATTGCTTGGCATATCTGATGTGATACATCAACTGGTCGTAAGGAAAGAAATGTGTATTCCCTGACAGGCTGGTGAGTGGTTTCTGCAGTTTGATGGTGAAATCATGTGCAAAGAGGGTGCTGCACCAGAAACTTCCTTTTGACTATTTTAGTAGCCAGCAGATCGTCATGGTCACCCATACTTTGCATGGAAAATGCCAACTTGTCTGACTACGAGCTAAGTGGTGATAAATCTCGAAAAGGTGCAACACAAACTGGAAATAAAGAATGTTCCCTTTCAAATTAAAAGCTGTGCTTCAGCACTGCAGCCAACACCTTTCAAAAGGTGTGACTTTTACTCTGCAGGCATATGACCTCTGTCTCCAGTTTGTGTTGCAATTTTCAGTTTCACTGCCGCTCAGAGAGGAGCTGATGAGTATTTGCAGACACGTCGGTGTCTTCCATGCAAACTGCAGGTGGCTGTGAAAATCTGTTGGTGATCAAAGCAACCGAAACAAGGTTTTTGCCAGCCTGTTGGGGGATGCACATTTTTCCCTAACTACCTGACATTGTTAGATGGTCGTGACTGGGGCTTAGGCAACACATTTCTCAGTGATTGGCCTCAACTTCCAGCAACTACTCACCAACCGGTTAGGGAATACACATGTTTTCCTCGTGACTTTTGTTTACCAGCCGATTTCTAGGCTTTTATGATTCAATCCTTAATCACTACTCTACAATGTCACATCTTCAACTTGCCAGAGTGCCAGTGGACTCTGATACTTCTTTATAACAAACATATGTATATGTATGGCTACATTTGACAGAGTGATTTAATCAAAGTGAGTGTTGTATTTACTGTGTATTTGTTATTTTGAGAAATAGAGCATTTACATCTGCAAGCATTATTAGGAAACGAATACCTTTCCTCTAATGGTCACACAATACAGTAAACTAATTACAGCAACTGTATGTTACAATAAAAACAGTTATAGGAATGACTGATCATCACTCTGTTTGGCCACAGATTCACTAGGTTGAGATTTGACTAGGTTCTTTCATATTTCCGACCTCGTATAACTTTGTTGTGCTCATGTTCTAAAAATGTGTTACGATACTGATACTTATAAGTTATACCTGTGAAGTAGGTAGAAGATAATTAGATGGGCTGTTTGGCATGTGATGGCTTACACAATAAAATCATATTATTCTTTCTGATAGTAATAAAAACTTCAACTGTGACTGGAAAACTGAGCCAAACGTAGAAGTTATCATGCACATAAACTGTGTGGAATGTCAGAGCAGCGCACAGAGGTAATACAACACTGCTATGATTGTTCTCCTTGTTTCTCCTAAAGTGATGTCATTTGGTGCTGCAGAAACACTCCACTGCATTCAGGATTGATCCTGGTGGCTATGCTAGCTGCAAGCAGCGTGTATACCGTATGTGTGTGCTCGGATGCGTGAGTGTGCTCGCGCTTGCTTCCTATTGAGCTGTTACAGGATATCTCCTGTTCCCTTGTAAAGGCCACTCAATTATTAGAGGATGCCACACTGCTCTCAGCCTAGACAGCCGGTAGGCATGCAGGGCCTCACTCAGCAGCACATTACTCCTATTATATCATATTCATAACTGGGTTAAACTGCAACTGAGGATTAAAAAAGAATGGACTATGTTGGAAATTGCAGAGGTGCATTAGTTAGTAATTTTGCTCATAAACATCAATAAAGTCCAGATTAAAGATTCATAGGACAGTATAGTTGCTGAGAGAACGCTAAAGAAAGAAATAAAAGAAGAGAAAATAGCCTCAGTGAAATTCAGCACAGGCTCCTTATTATTGTGAGGCTCCTTTGTGACTGATGTCCCAGGGGGTATGTGTGTTGTAGGACTATATGCAATTTATTATTTCTCATCCCTCTGCTCTCATCTCTCTCAGTGCAGACCTAGTCCGGCCTGCTGATCAGGAGCAGGCTGACATTGAGGCTTTCCCGAGAGACTCAGGGAAGCAAAGCAAAGCGGGAATATCAATGGCCACGTAACATTTCACTCTCTTTTTATTCCAAGCACACGAACGAAGATGAGGTCCTGATGCTGTTTGAGTAGACTAGCAACCTTATCTCCTCATTCAAATGTATATTGATTTATATTGATCCTGCATGTACCTGTTCCCTGTGGAGCATCTACTTTACATTCTTTACTTTAGTAAATGTAATGATAAACATAAAAGGAGAAAATTGTAAAAGGAATTCAAATTTCTGAGTTTTTTTTCCTCTTAAAGTAGTAAAAGATGACAAATTTGAATTGAAATACAGGAACAAAGTTATTGTACATTACATCTAAATTCAGCATACTGTTTAAATATTCAATATTTAATAACTTTTGACTTAAGCGAGCCATCACGTCTGAATCCTATGACCCCGAGAGTTCGAGTTTGCCATTACGAGGCATATAGTAAACAGCGTAAAAACAAAGTGGCTTTGCAGAATAATTAAACGCATCCGTCAACAATTATGGCTTTTCTTTTAACGGATTACATAAAATTAGATCAAAGTGCGCCCTGTATGCAGCACACACGTAGCGTATAGAAACCTCCACCCACACATGACAACGACTTACGGAGGCAATTCTTCACTGCATGCTTCTTTTTATGTTATTTTCAAATTCTGATTTAAGAATGTGAATTGTTTTTGTTGTGAATTGCAGTGACTTGTGCCAGGTTTACAAAAAGAATTAATCCATGTGCAAGCACTGGTGAAAAGGCTAATTCTCCCTGTTTAAATTCTATGTGTGCACGTGTGTGCTTGATCCTATAGGATAATACCTGGCTTGAGCCTTGTGTTTTTCCTGCTGTCACGATTCTGCGCTGTGTGTACACACTCGTCTCGAGGGACTAAACTGTTCTGTGCGTGATCTCAGTCCTTCTGCTGAATCAGTAGCAGAGTCAACCGCAGCAGCAGGAGAGTGATCATCGAAGGCTCCATAGTATTGATTTGGAGAAGACGGCTGACATTAGCTGGGAGAGACCTCCAGAGCATAGAGTGCAGATAGCTGCAAGAACCAAGGAATGATGGACACTGGAATTCATGTGGGAGGGAAGACGCAGCAGATTGTGATTGGTGGTTGACATGTCTGTGGGTTTAGGTCTGTTGCTCTTTTTTTATGTGGTCAGTGGTCATAGAGTTGGTATCAGTGTGTTTCCAAGTAATGGTGAGTAGCACAGCTTGAGGCTTGACAGTCACCTCAAACACAAATACTCAGAAGAGACAGCACGGGAGGGTTACGTGTATTTGTTTTGCCACTTTTAATGTGTGTGTGTGTGTGTGTGTGTGTGTGTGTGTGTGTGTGTGTGTGTGTATTCCCACCTCAAACCTCGAATTCTCACAGGATGTTACACCTGCAGCACACAGACTGACATCTCATTTGACCCCAGCACTCCTGTCACTGACAGTATTCTCACCTCAACAGACAAAGTGATACATGGCCGCCTCCACCATCTCACCTCAGAAAGACTTTTTTCACACACACATACATGTCTGGACACAGTGATTGCTCCATCAGCCACCACTGTGGCACAGCACTGAATTTCCTTTCAGTACTAGCCTAAAAATACCTGGCTGAGTCAATACAGTCTAGTGAGGTTGCCAAAACTTCATATTATCATGATACGTTGTAGAAAGACCCGAACAATAAGTTCATAATGCAGTCTTTATAGCGCAGACATTTACTGTATTACCAATTAAGATGATCAAAGTCTTTGTTCCTCTAAACATTTGGAATTCTTTGCATATTCTTGAGACATTGCATACACTTTAGAGGCGACAACTTGGGGGCTGTTAAAAACAACTACACACCATTTCACTGAGGTTTGTGATAGCTCCACTTTTGCTGATATGAAGGGCAATTATGGTGGTTATGCTAATGTTGAGTGAGAGCATGTGCAGCATGCAGCTACTCTAGAAACCTGGATGCATACACTTAGAGTCATTATGGGTTCAAGTCAAGTTCCCCTGTTTTCAACTCACATTGTCTGACCCTGTTTACACACCACAGTTATCTCAGTGTAATGCCTAATGAGCTGAACTGCATTACGCTGTACGATCCTCCTTAGGCTTCAGAAATAATTGCGTAGCATATTGTAGAAAAATGCTGTGTGTGACAAAAGGAACTTGTTAGCCTTGACAAGTCAGATTGACACTGTGGTGTAAAATTAGCAGAGGATCTGTTTTACATTGCCAAGGTAAAAGTAGCGCTGGAGACGGTGTCCCAGGAGTATCTCAGACATGCATGCGTTATCGGGTGGGCACATGCATGCACATAGGTATGATGTGGCATCATTTTAAGTGCATACACATAGACATGCATGGATGTGCATACACACTCCTGCAAACATCAAAGATGCCACACAAAGACTCAGATTCAAACAGAGGGGTGGGATCTTGCACAGCTACTTCAAAGCTTTCCATCTTTTTGAGGCAAAATTGGCTCAGGCTTCCGTCCCCCACATTCCCCTCAGCTCTTTTTTAAATCTATCTATCTATCTATCTATCTATCTATCTATCTATCTATCTATCTATCTATCTATCTATCTATCT